ATCTGAGTGATGTTAGATACAGAAGGCATGAGGGTGGCACAGGGGCATGTAGCTCTTGGCCAGGTCTTTTGGTCAGACATCGATTATAAAGCCACAGAAGGAGAAAGCACAGGTTCTGTAGCAAACACACAGATTAATTTGGTGCAGATAATGTTTACCTGTATATCAAGTGCCTGGTCCTGGCTTTGCTGATTGAGATGTATGGAGAGACACACTATGTCATGTTGATGGGGTCTGTCATTTCTGAAGGTCACATAGTCAATCAGGTCATATCAAGCCATCCATCTTAAAGGACTGAAGCAATTAGAAAAGCATTTGGAAAGCGTTTCACTGGTCACGAGCAGCAGAAAATGATGGCCATCTTGGTAAATGCATAAGCTTTTTTCCAAGGGGCTCAACTGCTCTATTAATACCCAGAAGACACAGGAATCTCAAAGCTCTCTAGGCTTGTGTTAAAGCAGCACTTGATTTTAGGCTCATGTTAAAATAGCACTTCATCTTAAAAAAATTGTCCTCTTGGAAGCAACATCATTACAGCTCTCTTGTTTTCCAAGGTGGGCAGTGTTTTGCTGCCTATCAGTTGCCTAAGAAGCAAGGCTTACAGATATTACTCTTTCATCTGCACTTCATTATCAGGCAAGCATAACCCAGGTCACCACTTGAAGGGGAAAGTATCTCTAGCTTTAAGAAACTATAGGATATTAAAGTCTGAACTAGGTTGTGCTTTATATTTATGCCCCATGAGTGAGACAGAGAGGGACTATTTATTAAACACATACACATAACATGTTCCAAATCTCTACTGGGCACTATGTATGTATGTATGTATGTATGTATGTGTAGTTTACATATATTCCAGCCCCAAATCTTAATGTGTCACACTTCACACCTCTCTTCTTCTTTTGATGCCTCTCTTCTCTTAAGCCTCACCATGGATTCATCAGCAAATATGATCAGCTTTATGTTCATAGTATACTTGGAATCTGACCATATGTCACTACCTCTACTGCCACCACGTTGGTCCCATCTGCTGTCTTCTCTCACCTGGATTATATGCAGGGATGCTCATAACTGGTATCCCTGCTTTCACTATTGCCTCACAGAGGTCTAGTCTCAACTAGGCTCCAGGGTGATACTTTGAAAACCTAAGCCAGGTCATGTCAGTTTTTTTTTTTGCTGAAAACCTTCCAGTGGCTTCCCTCTCTCTCTATGATCTGTTCCGCCTACCACCTCTCTGACATCATCTCTTGCCCTTCTCCATGCCTCACTGGAGATAATGTGGAGATTCTGTTTTGAGTTTCATGTAAATGCAGGCATAGATTATTGTTTTGTGTCTGGCTGCTTTCTTTCAATAGTATAGTAATTAAGAGACTGTGGTATCATCTCAGGGTTATACAAACAGACCACACAACAAAAAGGAAGGTCTGGAATTGTGCCCACGTATACATGACAAAGATGCAAAGAGATGAAAGATACATGAAAAGAGAGGGTCTAGAATTGACCTGCATGTACAAGAGCTGGCATGGGAAATCAGTGAGTAAATAACCCATCGATTCAATAATGAAAACTGGAATGAACAGTTATCCCTATGGAAAGAAATTAACTTGTATCCCCATTTTATATCATAAATGAAAATTAATTACAGGTGGATAAAAGACTCAAAGGCAAATGAAAAACTAAAACTAAAAGAAAAAATATAGGAGAATAGTGTTATAACCTCTGGTGGGGAGGATTTCTTTAAAAAGGTGACAAATTCACAAGAAAAGGAAATACACGCTAAATTTAAGTACATAAAAATTAAGAATTTGTGTTCACTTAATAGACGATAAAAAGTAAAAGACAAGCCACAAAGAGGGACAAGAGACTTGCAGTACATATGGCAAAGGATTGACATCAGAATATTTTAAAAAGTCCCACAAATCAATGAAATAACAAAGAAAAAAAAGCAGGTATTTCAAAAGAAAAGATAAATGAATGAAAATATCCTTGATTCCATTAATAACCTGGAGATGCTAAGGAAGGATACAATGGGATGGCAGTTAAACAAAAATGAATATGGCTAAGATGAGTATTGCCAGAATGTGGAGAACCAAACATTTCTTGAAATATTGGTGAGTATATAAATTGGTACAACCACTTTGGAAATCAACTTGGCATTACCTCATAAAGTAAAAATATATACAGTGTTATTACCTAGCAGCTTGACTCCCACACATGTACTCTGGAGAAACTCTTTCTTATCTGACCCTAGAAACAATGTGAAAAATATTCTGAGTGTTTGTAAAAGCAAGAAAATAGAAACGACACTGTTACCATTGACTGGAGAATGGATGAAAAAACTATAGTCTATTAATACACTGGAGCAGGACAGAAAAGAATGCTTCCATGTAAATAAAGCATATCAGTATATTCATAACAGCAGCGAGAATGAAATACAGCTCTATCCATCAATAATGGGTGACTGTTAAACAGAATATTGAGTAAAAAAGCAAGTGACCAAAGAATGGACATAGTACAATTCTGTTTATCCAATGTCCAAAAACATGTGAAGTGAACTAAAAGTTTGTTTAGGAATGAATATGATTTTTGGTAAAAACAAAGTAAGGGAATGATAAACACAAAATAAGGATAGTTACCTCTCGAGGTGGGATAGGATACAAAAGGATCATGCAGGGTACTTGGGGAACTTCAGAGGTTTGGGTAATATTCTCTTTCTCAAGAAAGGTTGAAGGGGGCCGGCCGAGTGGCGCGATGGCTAAGAACTGGCTTGGGACGCCAGAGGGACCCCGTGCAGATCCCACATGTGAGGGCCAGTGACACTGCCCTCTACAGCTAGCATGGTGAACAACAGCTCAATCTGGGCCTGGGCTGCCGTGAGTTGCCGGCGACGGCATACGCTGCAGCCCCTGTGGCAGTGGGTTGCCATTGGGCTACCGTGTGTAGCCAGCAGCCAGCGTGAGCGGCC